CTAGGATCAACCACCCAGACCAACTCTGTGAAGGATGTCTAATTGGGAAGTAATTTCGAAAAAGTTTTCCAAAGGAATCAACATCAAGAGCGACAAAGCCACTAGAGCTCATACACACAGATCTCTGTGGACCAATCAAACCCAACTCGTTTGATAAGAATAAATACTTTATCCTCTTTATTGATAATTATTCTAGAAAAATATGGGTTTATTTCTTGAAGGAGAAGTCAGAAGTATTTGACAACTTTAAGAAGTTCAAAGCCCTTGTGGAGAAAGAAAGTGGTCTTTCCATCAAGGCCATGAGATCTGACCGAGGAGGAGAGTTCACTTCAAATGAGTTCAATAAATATTGTGAAGACCATGGAATCTGTCACCCATTGACTGTGCCAAGATCGCCTTAACAAAATGAAATAGCAGAGAGAAAGAATCGAACTATACTTAACATGGTACGAAGCATGCTCAAGAGCCAGAAGATGCCAAATGAGTTTTGGGCCGAAGCAGTGGCATGTGCAGTTTACTTGACAAATCGTTCCCCAACAAGAAGTGTGCATGAAAAGACACCCCAAGAAGCATGGAGTGGAAGGAAACCTGGGATCTCTCACCTTAAAGTATTTGGAAGCATTGCCTATACCCATGTTCCAGATGAAAGAAGAACAAAGCTCGATGATAAAAGTGAGAAGTATGTGTTTGTGGGTTATGACTCAAGCTCTAAAGGATACAAGCTTTATAACCCAAATAGTGGAAAGATCATCATAAGTCGTGATGTGGAGTTTGACAAAAAAGATTATTGGGATTGGAGTGCTCAAGAAGACAAGTATGATTTTCTTCCTTACTTTGAAGAATAAGAAGAAGAAGAAGAAGAAGAAGAAGAAATGGAACAACCAATGATAGAGGAACATATTACACCACCTTCCTCACCGACACCAAGGTTGGATGAAACAAGTTCAAGTGAGAAGATACCACGACTAAGGAGCATTGAAGAGCTTTATGAGGTAACCGAAAACCAAAACGACATTAACCTCTTTTGTCTTTTTGGAGATTGTGAGCCTCTAAGCTATCAATAAGCGGTAGAAAACATAAAGTGGAGAGACGCCATGGACGAAGAAATCAATTCTATCACGAAGAATGATACATGGGAACTCACTACACTCCCACAAGGACATAAAGCAATTGGAGTAAGATGGGTGTACAAGGCAAAGAAGAATGTAAAATAAGATGTGGAGAGATACAAAGCAACATTGGTGGAGAAAGGCTATAGTCAAAGACAAGGAATTGACTATGATGATGTATTTGCTCCTGTTGCTCGTCTTGAAACTATTAGACTGATCATTTCCTTGGCAGCCCAAAATGAATGGAAGATATATCAAATGGATGTGAAATCAGCCTTCTTGAATGGTTTTCTCGAAGAAGAAGTTTATATCAAGCAACCACTAGGCTATGAAGTAAAAGGGCAAGAAGAAAAAGTCTTGAAGTTGAAGAAGGAATTGTACGGTCTCAAGCAAGCACCGAGAGCTTGGAATGTTCGAATCGACAAGTACTTTCAAGACAAGAACTTCATCAAGTGCCCATATGAGCATGCACTCTATATCAAAGCGCAAAGTGGAGATATTTTAATTGTGTGCTTGTATGTAGATGACTTGATTTTCACAGGGAACAATCCAAGCATGTTCGAAGAGTTCAAGAAAGACATGTCAAATGAATTTGAGATGAAAGATATGAGGTTTATGGCATATTATCTTGGCATTGAAGTAAAGCAAGAAGACAAAGGAATTTTCATCATCCAAGAAGGCTATGCCAAAGAAGTCATTAAGAAGTTCAAGATGAATGATGCCAATCCAGTTGGCACCCCGATGGAATGTGGTAGCAAGTTAAGCAAGCATGAAAGTGGAGAGAATATGGATCCAACTCTTTACAAAAGTTTGGTTGGAAGTCTACGTTACTTAACAAGTACAAGGCCAAATATTCTCTATGTTGTAGGAGTTGTAAGCCGATACATGAAAGCTCCAACAATAACTCACTTCAAGGCGGCAAAGAGAATCCTTAGATACATTAAAGGTACAATTAACTTTGGCTTGCACTATTACTCTTCTAATAATTATGAGATTGTTGGCTATAGTGATAGCGATTGGAGTGGAGACTTGGATGTTAGGAAGAGCACTATGGTTATGTGTTCTTTATGGGAGATATTGCTTTCACTTGGATGTCAAAGAAGCTACCAATAGTCACACTATCAACTTGTGAAGCCGAGTATGTCGCTGCCACATCATGCGTTTGTCATGCAATTTGGCTAAGAAACCTGTTGAAAGAGTTAAAAATGCCACAAGAAGATCCAATGGAAATATGTGTTGATAATAAATCAACAATTGCTTTGGCAAAGAATCCAGTCTTTCATGAAAGAAGTAAGCACATCGACACCCGTTACCACTTCATAAGAGAATGCATTGAAAAAAAAGAGGTGAAGTTGAAGTATGTAAAGTCTCAAGATCAAGCTGCCGACATTTTCACCAAGCCACTAAAGTTGGAAACTTTCGTGAAGCTAAGAAGTATGCTTGGAGTCACAAATCAAGTTTAAGGGGAGATGTTGAAAATATTAAACTTGATTTGGGCCTAAATTTATTAATTGATTTTTGGGCTTAAGTAGTTTTCTAGAGAATTCTTGTAACATATGGAATCTCTAGATATTTCTTATAATTGTAATATTTTCTAGAATGATCTTTGGATCTCTAGAGTTGAGAACTCTCTAGAATTAGTGTGTCTAGAGTTCTCCTTAGAGTACTATAAATAGAGATGTAATCCCACACATTTGAATCAAGCAAAAATACAAAGTTCTTCTCCTCCATAAAGAATTACCCTACGTATCAAATTTATATTCAAACCTTCAATATTCTCACACACTTCTCCTTAACATAAAAGGTCTTATTTCCAACACACTACTCAATCCCCGTGACAAAGTCTGTGTATACATACTGCTTTAGAGAAGAAGAAGACATAGCTCATATTATGGTTCATTGTTTGGTGAGGAAAGTTTGAGAGAATATTCAGAAGTGGCTTCAAATAAACATGACATGGGAAGTGAATTGTTGCAGCCACATAATGAAAGTAGTAACCAATTCAGAAGTACCATGTAATTTTTTATGAGTGATATCAAAATCTACTTGATTGTATTAATCTTTTGTAACATTCTGATTTTTCTATAACTTTTCGCTTGTATTTGGACTAAAGCACCCCTAATGTTCTCTCATAAATGCAATCCTTACTTATAATAAGAAAGATAAAAGAAAAATAAATTAGAACATAGGAGGAACCAACGATATTAGAGAGTACTAGTAAGCAGCATGCATGTGATAAGTACTTTATATATCAATCAAAGGCAGAGACCACACAATATTTTGTTTGTTTACATTTGTACCATTGCCAAAATTTGAAAAATAAACTTGTAGGGTTCCTACAAGTTAAGTATGTGTGTTTTTGACATATTCATGCTACAATAAAGTGATGCCAGACTTAACAGTAAAACATTTAAACATGGGAGGGTGGACAACAACATCATGACAAATAAAATAACACTAAATTTGGTTTGGAAATTGGTGGCATTGTTTTTGGACCCTACTTTACCACTCACATTTGTATATAGCTTCTTAGCAACTAGGGCAGAATAATATCTACCGTTAGTTATTGTTATTGTTAAGTTGTTTTTAATAAACTTATAATACAATATACAATTATATGACCCTGATTTTTTTACAAGTTCTTTTTCATACTATGGATGGTGATGTAATGCATATTATAGTAACAAAGTAAACACAAGTTGTGGGGAAAAGAAAGCAAAGGTGATGCAATAATTTTGGGTCTATGGTATTGCACAAAGATGGTTTTATGTTAATGCCTTTGATTAGTGAATTATTTGGTTTAAATGTGGCATTTGATCACCAAATAAAATTGAGCAGATTTTGTTGACATGAATAACAAACCTCCTTCTGTTTAGGACTCAATATCTAAAACGTAAAAATAAGTGGTGAGTGATCTCATAGCAGGTGATCTATCAAATTTTAAACCAAACTCTTAAACGATATTAAAAAAATATGGTTGATCTTAACTCATCAAACAAAATAGACTTTTAAGATGATAATTGCCTCCATTTATAAGTACATGTTTATGTTATATATTGTTCAATGTGTGACTGTTAACAACACTCCTTCATGCTCAAAATTGGACATCACGGAACGTGAAAACCTGATAGCAAATGATCTATAAGAAATATGATTAGATCTAATTTATCCATATAAAATTGACTTTTAGAGTGAATATTGTCTCCACTTATTATAAGTACATGTTCAACTCATTAATATATTCTTCGATATGAGACTCTTAAAAATTTATTCTCCTATAACATTAAAATATGATAAAAATTTGAATGAGAATACAAATCGTAAACAATTCACATTTTATTTTTTCTAACCTCTAAATAAAATGTTAAAATAAAAGTATTAAGTCTCGTTAAGCCATCTTAGTTCACAGCTATGCACTAACATATGGTAAAGGAAATGGATTCTCTAACTTCCATTTTTCTATCTCTCTCTTAATTTACTTTCTCTCCCGTATATTTCCCTCCAAAATCAACATCACTTTCTCTTTAATTTCTTTTAAATTTTAGCTAAAATTACTCTAACTTTTTCTCCAAAAAGTTAAAGAATCTTTATCCGATGACAAAAACACGTTTTCGAACCCGTGATATTCTACCTATTACATCTTTTACATCTTTTAGTGAAGTCACAGTTAGGCTAATAAACAAAATGTTGTATCTTTAAAAAAATTCATATTTTCATGTGTGCCTATAATTATGCACAATGCGTATGCAGCATTATTCTTTTGAATATTTTACCGTATATGTCACAAGAGCCTAATATTCAGTTCCACTATAAATACAAGCTTAGTTGAGAGGGTGAAGATATATAACAATCAGTTCAAAAAAAATCTTAGTTCAAAACCATCCTGTTTCCATGGCTCCTGTACCAATTTCTACCATCAACGTAGGACACATTGATGATGTACAAGAATTAAGAAGAACTAAACCTAAGACAGTTCCTCAAAGATTTGTAAGAGACATGACAGAAAGACCAACACTTCAAACATCTCTTTCACCACTAAATAGTGACATGCCTGTCATTGATTTCTCTAAGCTTAGTAAAGGGAGCAAAGAGGAATTGCTCAATGAACTTTGCAAGCTTTCGGTCGCTTGTCAAGAATGGGGATTTTTTCAGGTAAATAAGCGCTTATCTTGAAAAACTTATGAAAATAAGTTGAAAACAGCTTACGAACATACATCATTAGATGTTTTCATAAGCTCTGACAAACAATCTTATGTCAGGAGATAAACTCAAATGCGTAGATTTTTTAGGACATACTTGTTAATTGAAACTGATAATGTTGAGTGTTGTCATTAGGTGATTAATCATGAGGTTGAGATCAATCTAATGGAGAACATAGAGGATGTGAGTAAGGAGTTTTTCATGCTACCTTTGGAAGAGAAACAAAAGTACCCTATGGCTCCAGGAACAGTTCAAGGATATGGACAAGCTTTTGTTTTCTCAGAGGACCAGAAACTTGATTGGTGCAACATGTTTGCTTTAGGAATTGAACCTCACTATGTTAGGGACCCAAGTCTTTGGCCAAAGAAACCAGCAAAACTCAGGTAATACATATTTTTATACAAAACCGTCTTAACTTTTTGGAAGTCTGTACAGATTAATTACGGTTCAACAATGACAAGACATTTAAAGGTCTTATTTAACTAATTTTTAACAACGACAAATATTTTATGAGGTTCTATTTAAATACGGTTTAATCATAACAAATTTTATATCATGTGTGCAGTAGTCTGTCTCAGACGTTCTAAAATTCGGATCTGTTTTTAGGAAACAATTATATATATTTTTACTTAGTAAAATGATTTTTTTCTTTCATACTAATGCAGTGAAACGATAGAATTGTACTCAAGAAAAATAAATAAACTTTGTCAAAATTTGCTGAAATACATAGCATTAGGCCTGAATTTGGAAGAAGATGTTTTTGAGGAGATGTTTGGTGAATCAGTACAAGCCATAAGGATGAATTACTATCCAACATGTTCAAGGCCTGACCTTGTTTTGGGTTTGAGTCCTCATTCAGATGGAAGTGCTCTTACTGTGCTGCAACAAGCAAAGGGAAGCCCAGTGGGCCTTCAAATACTTAAAGACAACATATGGGTCCCTGTCCAACCAATTTCAAATGCTCTTGTCATCAACATTGGTGACACAATAGAAGTAAGATTCTTTCAATTCTTAATACTCACCGCTTACGAATAACCGTCTTAAGTTTTTGAAGGTCCACATACATAGCCACGATTCAATATTTTTTAAAGCACTATTTATCTCCGATTTAATCGTGACACATTTTATGTTATTTACAGCATTCCACCTTTCACGTACTCGTAGTAACTATATTGTTCATTTTGTTATGGACTTAGATTTTAATTTGAATTTTGCAGGTTCTTACAAATGGAAAATACAAGAGTGTGGAGCATAGGGCTGTGGCTCATGAGGAAAAAGACAGGCTTTCAATTGTAACATTTTATGCTCCTAGCTATGAAGTAGAGCTTGGACCAATGCAAGAATTTGTGGATGAAAATCACCCATGCAAGTATAGGAGATACAATCATGGAGAGTATAGTAAACATTATGTGACAAATAAGTTACAGGGAAAGAGGACTTTGGACTTTGCTAAGATGGAAAATATGAATAATACTACAAACTAGGAAGTCCTGGCCAGTTCTCCAACTAGCTAGGAGCATTTAATTAGAATATTGAAAATATATAAAACCTACCATATAAAAGTATGAAGGAATTCAAGCTTCTTAATTTTTATTTTAATGGAAAATAGGTAGAAGAATTAGTTTGGCAATTAGAAGAGTGTGATTGATTGTCGATTCAAAAAGAAAAGGAAAAAAAAAATAAAGAGTGTGATTGTGGCCACATACAAAAAACGAGCCATTATTCTTATTCCAAATATGTATTATGTTACATCTAATATTTTATGTATATGCTAGCTTTCAATGGAAACTTAATGACATCTAATATTTTATTTCAAAGTGGCGTTGGTGTTGGTGTTGGTGTTTGTTAAACTGAAAATTTGGTGGAGGGAATTGACTAACAGTTTAACATTAATTTTCTTTTCTTCAAATAGTTACTTTAAAGTGAATTTTATTCTTCGTTTGAAATTTTGTTCTTTTTATAATAGCCAAGGAAATTAATATAGACAATTACATGTTAAAAGAAAAAGAAGAAGAAAAATTAATGTAGACAATTATGCATAATTAGGGGTGGTAAAGTGGACGACCCGTTCTATTTAAATCTGTATAAAAGCGGAGTAGGGTGGGGCGGACAAACTTAGACATCCGAGTTTAAAAATTAAATTCGTCCCGTTTACTAACGAGTTGGCGGGTTGACGAGCTGGTCCGCCAATTTATTTAATTTTTTTATTTTACAATTTATTACATAATTTACATAAATTTTAATCATTATTAAAGAAGTCGACAAAAGATATTTTTTTAACAACGCATAATATAACTTCAACATGTCTTAAGTCCAAACACTTAAAAAAATAAAATAGATAAAGATCAATTTCAAGAAAAACATTCCGAAATAGACTATAGCACGATAAAAAAAAGTATCAAAATAAATAAATAAACAACACATATCATCATAATCCTATTTAAAAACTAATTACTAAAAATACTCAATTAATAATTTGCACAAGACAAACAATGATAACATTACAGTGCATAAAACATCACATTGCATAAAATAGTAGTGTATAAAATATTAACACCTGACTTTCTCATTGTTTACGTCATGTAGACTATTATATTGACTGATTCCATAATAGTAATATCTTAAATTAGTCACACGTATACTCTAATCAAATTCTTCCTTTTCTTAAAATTAACATTTGTTTCTAAAGAAATCATGTGAACTAATGTATTGACAACTTAATAATTCTTCATGTCATATAATTGCTCTTGTATTTCAAGTTTTTCCAACTAGTACATGTATTAGAAAGTTATATAAAGAACCTTACAATTATAATTCAATTTGTCTATATAATAATTTAGAATATAATTCAATCACCATAACCCAAAGATAATGTTGTTGTTTTTATAGTTAAAGTTGTCTTAATTCTATATAAAAAGTAAAACGATGTAAGAAAAAGCCCGCGGGAAAAACCCGCTCCGCCCCGTCTAAGTCCGCTTTTTAAAGCGGGTTAGGCGGGGCGGATCAACTTAAGGTACCGAGCCGAAAACTTCAATCCATCCCGCCAAAAATGGTGGGTCAAACGGGCTGGCCTGACCCATTTTGCCACCCTTATGCACAATTACATGTTTCCTTCTTCTTCATAATATAATTTTTCAAAATTATAATCCTCTTTTTAATTCCATTGCATATCAATTTATAGAAACTTTCAATCGTAAAATATCTTCTTTTTTGGCCCCTTGACCTTTTGTAATTATGCGTTAACCATGACCCAAAGAATAAAGCATATTCTTTTTTCTAGTACGTATATTAGGATAATAGAAGCACACATGAGAGACATCATGATCCTTTAGCAGTGTTGTGACAATTTTCACACTCCTCAACAATTTTTGTTTATCCGTATTCATTAGCGTGACAATTCAACATGTAACACCTGAATCCAAAGAGGGCAGATAATGGATGTAACACCCGAGACCGAAGAGGGTAAAGAGTGGTCGCCGAATTCACATTGGAATGAGAGAGATTCTAAGACTATGTAGGTATGAGACTGCATGATTAAAGGAAAACTTATAAGGATTAATTGGTCCTACTTGTCATACCTTAATTTTCACCTCTAAGATCCCACCTATCATATCATTTCATTTCATCAAGATCACAAATTTGGTAACCTCCTAACCCTTTGGCCTTTGGGGTTGTTGTGTGAGAGATCACCAATCACCTTTTGTATTTTCTTTTATCTTTGTGTTTATTTGCTTCTGTAATTTACCAACCCTATTCAAAATACAAAAAAAAAAGCTTTGTTTCATTTTCTTATTTTGCATGGTAGGACTTTTCATAAAGAGATCTAGATGGGTTGCCAAATTAGGGTTTTGATCTCCTAAGTCAAAGTCAAGGTCAACAAATGGTCAACAAGTCTTATTATTCAAGGCATGACCTATAATCTTAGGTCGTATTCATGTAAATTTTGATTCAACACCAATTGACCAAAGGAAGTTCAAGTTTGATGTTTGGTTTGCAAGTTAACTCAAGATAGGTTCATGTGTTTATTTCCATGCCTTCTTCATCATTTTTCTCAAGGTTTCATCAAGATTAATCAAAGGTCTGTCAAGGATACTTCATTTGGAGTTCATAGGATCATCATTGTGCCTTAGAATGCAATAAAATATAAAAAATGACAAGTTGGAACATGGTGGTTAGACCTAAAATCAAGTGTGGCATTCCCTTTGGTCTAAACACCATAACTTCTTCAAATCTTAAAATTTATGGGTTTGGAGCCAAATGTCAAGAATAATGTCGTCTACAACTTTTCTTCAGGGATCAAACATAAATTTAAGCTTTAAGTCTATCAAATTTTGAAGGCCACTTATGCACAAAATATAGTTCATGACATGTTTGACCTAATGTCTGGCCTAAATTTCAGGTCACAACCCCAACTTTCAACTCATGTCAGTTTCAGCTCAAGTATCAAATTGACCCGGTTCTTTTTGCATCGAGTTCTACTCCATAAAAGGAACATTTGGAAAAAAGGAAATCTCAAAACGCACGAGTAGATTTGATTTAGCCTAAGCATGAACATGGTGGTATAAACTTTGTTTGTACCAAGTGGCCCATAATTAGAAATGACCTAAAACTCAAACGGGACCACTTTTCACATGTGCAAACTTGTTTATCATGAAGAAACATATTTGGTAAAACACAAAACGACTTGCAATCACTCAAAAATCATACATTTCATGCTTCATTTCACATGGTTTATATCTAGAATTTTCCAAACTTGATTCACACGATTGAAGAGGAATTTGTCACGTACCATGACCTCATTCATTCTCCTATAAATATATATCACTTATGCATTCAAAACCAAGCTTGAATAGCCTCTGAAACACAGCAGAAACCTCAACCCGATACCTCTAAAAACCAGAAGTTAGTTTCTCATTTTATCTTCGTTTCAACCTCAATTCTCTGAAGAATGAAAAAACACAAGAAAGGGGGTTTGAATTGGGGTTTTTAAACCTTAAAGTAAAAGACAAGTTGGTTATCCTGGTTCGTTTGAACTCAAACTACCCCAGTCTACCCTCCAAGGTGATTTCGCCTCTCTCAATGAGGTCTTAATCCACTAATCAAACTTGATTACACAGATACAATGACAATCGTCAACGCCTTCTTGAGTTTAAACCACAACCCGATTTTCTCAAGGTATTACACAATACAATATTTGAAAGAGTGTACAATATATGTTTTCTAACAAAACAGTATCACACAAGTGATGTTTTACCCAAATGAATTTTTGTAAGATAAAGGTGATGAAAATATTTCGTTTGTAGTGCGTAGAAAAATCGTCAATGATTTCTCCTTCAAGTCTTGGAAATATAGGCAACGCATGTGATGAGCTTTTGGAATGTTGATAAATAGTAATTAAAGAACTTTCGAAACATAGAGATTATTGTCCTCTTTCTGCCATTACTTTTGAATAGCCATAAATCAAATGTAACACTTCAGAACATGCTTGCTTCAAAATGCTTCAGAAGATGAATGTTACCGTTGGGACTCCTTTACTTCTTTCCAGAACTATATGAATCAGAATAACAAAGTTCTTGTTCGCAACGTTTAGTGCACTCAGAAGTTGTAGCTTGAGAACTTCTCTATATAAGCATGTTATGCAGATTGCTTTATATATGAGATGTGTTGAATCAGAATTTAAACAACGATCTAACTCATCTATTGTGCTTCTTCCATCAGAAATTCTCTGCAAAACAAAATACTTATTTAGGGAGCATAATTGTTCTTTGAGTGTTTGTTATCATCAAAACTCTTACAAGGGTTGTAGAATCAAATTATATTCTAACAATCTCCACCTTTTTGATGATGACAAAAAATTAGATATTTTAATAGAAAATTAAAGAACATAATGCATTTAAAATCTCCCCCTGAGTTGGATACTCAGATAGAGAAGAAATACTTCTTTGAAGATTGTTTTGACCAGAGTTTTGGAGAAAAAGATTTTTGATGCATCCACTTCTGTCCTCAACAGAGTTTGTTCCTATTTTGCTTTCATAAAAAAACAATAGAAGTTATGATATTCAAAATGTTTGAGACTGAGTCTCGATACTGTTATATTCGAAATATCTTACGTTCTCCCCCCTTTTTGTCAAGAATCAAAAAGTAATAAAAACACTTTAGACAATAAAAGGCATGTTGTATTAAAAAATATTCCAATAAAAACACATTCTGAAGGAAATAAATAAAAAAATGAAGAAAACAAATTTCAGAACTAATTTTGAGGTGGTGGAAGTCGTGTGAGCAGGGCTTCCAATAAACTCTTGATTTGACTGTTTGATTTCTCATGTTTTCCCAGCATCCCCTTGATTTCCTTGTACGTATATTTTGTACCCCAAAATTTGCCCTCCCATTTTCACTCAAGACATGCTTCTAGAGGTCCTCGGTTGCTCAAGGTTAACCAAGAATTGATCAGACAAACTCTCTTCCTAAACAATGAACCTCTAAT